AGCATTTAATAGCAACAACAACTTGTCTAATATTCAAAATTCCCTTTAGTAGTTCAACAACAGGGTGTTTTTTTTAAAAATAATTTAACATATAAATTTAATGTGTAAGGCTTTAATTGTCATTCAGATCACCCCATGTATTGGATAGCAGCCAGGAAATCAAAAGACAAATTGCATTGGAGAAAGTCTGCTGTCAGGGACCTCTCCAAAGTAATAGAGAGCAACAGTGTCAGTCTAGAGACTAAAGTCTGTCTAATCCAGGCTATGGTCATTACAGTTAATTGCTGTGTGTCAGAAAGTTGGACAATGATAGAAGAATAATGCCTTTGAGTTGATGCTGGAGAAGAGTATTGAATATATGTCATCGAATGCTAGGGAGAACAAACAAGTTCTTCTGGGAAAGGGTGAAACCAGGTTGCTCCTTGGATGCAAGAATTTTGAAACTCTCTGACATACTTTGGGCATGTTGCCAGGAGGGACCGTCCTTTGAGAGGAAGGTCATGCTTGGAAGAGTAGAGGGACAGCACAAGAGAGGAAGACCCTGGATGAGATGGATTGACTCAGTGACTGGAGAAATGGGGAGGGTAGGTGTGTCAGCAACAATGAGGTTGACTCAAGATAGAGCAGGGTTCAGAGCTGTTGTACATAGGGTCACTATGAGTTGTAAGTAACTCAACTGCACACAACAGATTAATATTAAAGAATAGAGCCTACTGGATTATAATTTTGGGTGACTTATTAAAATTTCATTTGCAGCTCAGTTTATAGGTGTGTTCTCAAAGAATGTATTTTCTTTTAGGGCAGTTATCTCTCTTTTTAATTTTTTTAAAAATGTAAGTTTGTTTTATAAATTCTTATTCACTTTAAATCAATTTTATGTGATCCTAAAATTTCTGTGTCAATTTCCATAGTTTATATTTGCCTAGTATTTCTTGTTTTGTTTTCATTTTTTATTTGTGTTTATGTACATGTTAGTTTTGTTGTTATGTAATGTTGAGTCACTTGTGACTCATAGCGACCCCATATACAGTAGTTCTGAACTCTAACCTGCGCCAGTTTCACTGTCTCTGACACACCTACTCCTGTTTTTCCAAGTTACCATGTCAGTCCATCTCATCTGGGGTCTTCTTTTCCTGTGGTGTCCTTCCACTTTTCCAAACATGATGTCTTTCTCCAAGGACTGGCCTTATACTTTACATAATACAGAGATATGATTAATTGAAGCTGCTCTGAAGGAATTGACAAAAAAGTAGACCCCAGGAATTCATGGAATACCAACTGACATATTTTAACAAACAGATGTAGCCTTGGACAACTACCTGGACAACTGACTGGAAGAGATCCATTCGTATTCCCATTCCAAAACAGTGATTTGACAGAATGTGGAAATTATTGAACAATATCACTAATTCAAGTTCATGCAAAATCCTGCTAAAGATAATCCAAAAACGACTGGAACAGTACATCGACAGAGAACTAATAGAAATACAAGCTGGATTTAGAAGAGGCTGTGGCACTAGGGACATAATAGCCAATGTCAGATGGATCTTGGCTGAAAGCCGAGAGAGTACCAGAGGAATATCTTTCAGTGTTTGTTTGACTCAGCAAAGTTATTTGACTATGTACGAAGCTATGAATCTAAAATGACAAGAATTTCTTTAAGACCAATCAGCAAATAAGTGATAAGACTGTGACTTCTAATAGTCTTCTGGTTGCAATTCTTTAGGTTTTGGAGCTTATTCTTTACTCTTTAGTACCCACCTATCTTCTTGTTATGTGCCATCAAGTTGCTTGTGACTCATAGCAACCCTCTGTACAACAGCTCTGATACCTTGCTTTATCCTGAGCCAACATTATTGGCTCTGACACACCTATGTTGTTGTTGTTAGGTGCCGTGGAGTCAAGTAGAACTCATAGAGACAATAATGAACAAAAGATCTGAACCTTGTTCTATCCTGCTCCATTCTCACACTTCCTGCCTGTTGCAGAAATTTATCAGTCCACCTGGTCAAGGGTCTTCCTCTCCTTAGCCAATCCTCTATTCTTCCCAGCATCATATTCTTCTCCAAGGAATAACACCTACTACCAACATGTCCAAAGTTGTTGTTATGTGCCATCGAGTCACATGCGATTCATAGCGACCCTATGTACAACATCCCTAAACTCTGCTCTGTCCAGTGCCAATCGCATCATCTCCGATACACCCATCCCAATTACGCCAGTCACTGAATCAATCCACCTCATCGGGGGCTTTCCCCTTCTGCGCTGTCCCTCCACCCTACTAAGTATGATGTTCTTCTCCAAGGAACATCATGTCCAAAGTATGTTAGACAGAGCCTCAGAATGCTTGCCTCCAAGGAGCAGCCCAGTTTGACCCTTTCCAGGACGAATCTGTTTTCCTAGCAGTCCATGGTACCCTCAATACTCTCCTCCAGCACCACAACTCTAAGGCATCAATTCTTCTTCTATCCTCCTTGGTCATTGTCCAACTCTCTGATGCATAACAAGTGATAACAAAGAACATGGCCTGTATCAGATGCACCTTAGTCTCCAAAGAGACACCATTGCTCTTCAGTACTTTGGAGAGGTCCCTAACAGCAGGCTTTCCCATGCGCCTTTTAATTTCCTGGCTACTGGTGCGGAGAGTGTTGACTGTGGAGCCAAGCAAACTGAAGCTGTGAATGATCTCAGTCTCTTCGCCATCCATCCTGATGCTGCCAGTTGGTCCAGTGGTGAGAATCTTTGTCTTCTCGACACTGGGCTTCAATCCATATTGGAGGCTGCAGTCCTTGACCCTCTGCAGCAAGCTCTTCAGGTCCTCCTCAATTTCAGAAAGCAGGGTTGTGTCATCTGCATATCACAGATTGTTGATAGATCTTCTACCAATCTTGACCCCACATTTCTCCTCATAGAGCCCAGCCTCCCGGATAATTTGTTCTGCATACAGGTTGAAAAGGTATGGATGCATCCCTGGCGTACGCCCTTCCCAATTTTGAACCATGCAGTGTTTCCTTGCTCTGTTCTGTCCAAAGTAAGTGAGGCAAAACCTCATCATTCTTGCCTCCAAAGAGCACTAGATCTACACCCTCTTCAAGATATATCTGTTCTTTTTTTGGGGGGGGGGGGTCTGGGGGGGGGGGGGATTGTGTACCAATGAGGGAGTTTTTCTTTTGCTTTTCAAGGAGAGGAGCAAACGGGGCAGGGGGGAGAGAAGGGTGCAACAATGAATGAATGGAATTCCAAAATCTCTGTAGATGTTCATTGAAATGAAAAATAAATTAAAAAATATATATATATCTGTTCTTTAGGGCATCCTTGGGATGTTCATTGCTCTTCTCCAACACCACAGCTCAAAGGCATCAATTCTTCTTTTGTCATGCTTATTCACTGTCCAGCTCTCAGATGCATAGCAAGTGATCGGAAAGATTATGACCTGAACCAGATGTACCTTAGTCCTCTCTTATCCTACCTATCTTAATGGGTGTTATTGTTCAGTAATTCGATGACCCTGTGCCATTCTGCCTCTTCTCTCTCCCCCCCCTTTTTTTTGTTGTGAAAATACAATTTGTTCACTTAACCATTTTAACCAGTGTTTGCAAATCCTTATATAATCTATTTCTCTTCTGTCCTTTATTTTCATATTTTCTGTACTTTGTTCACACTTTTGTTTCTGCCACACTAGGCTTTTTACTGTTCTACCAGCATACAAAGCATGCTCCAACCTCTGAATCTCTGATGTTACTATTCACTTTTCTTGGAATACCTTCTCTTAATGAGACCTCCTTAATGACCCTGTTTAAAATTACAAACGGTCCCATGATATACAGACTCTATTCCCCCCTTTCCTTACATGGTTTTTCTCCTAGCACTTTACATAGCACCCTTCTGATACACTTAACAATTTACTATCTATTGTGTTTTTATTGTTGGCCCTTCCTCATTATAATGTTAGTTCCAGTGTCTGGTGCAGTACAAAACTCTGTAAGTACAAAAAACAAGAAATGTTTTTTGAATGAGAGAAGGAAAGGAGGAAATTAAATGGACTTCAAAAAATGCTAGTAATGTTTGATTGTTTTTCTTAATGAGGAAGTTGAACATTAAAGGCCTTTTAATTTAGGCACACACATTTGTGAGGGAGCTCTGGTGGCTTAGTGGCAAGGAGCTGTGCTGCCAATCTGAAGGCATGTGGTTCAATTCCACCAGCTACTCAGAGAAAGATAGGTAGTCTCCTGCTGTAAGATTTCCTGCCTCTGAAAAACTGCTGGAGGCTCAGTTATGGGTTAGTTCTAAATTGAAAATTTTTATCAAATTTTCAAGGATAAAAATGGTTTTAAGTTTTATTTTTTACAAGTAAATTAGTTCTGACTTTTTATGGTTAGTTTTAACTTTGTACTTTTGTTCAAATAGTAAAGTAGGATTTTCATTACTAGTCTTTACTCTTATTTAAACATTTTTTTTTCTTTTATAGATTTGCTTTGACATTACAGTAATATGAAGTATGGATTCACCTTTGGAAACTTCACCTGGGAAAGAAAGTCTTCTCTCTTCTTAAAACAACAGAAAAGGCATAAGAAAAGTAAATAACCAAGGGAATTGTACCAGATGACAACTCTGCATCTTTGGCATCATCTGATTTTTGACACATCAAGACAAATACCTTTAAGGAAAATAGCTTATTCATTAGCATTATTCTTGCCAATTTAAATATCATCGTCCTTCTTAAACTTTGCAACTCTTCAATAAGATTAACATACAAAAATCTTCAAGGTCTTGATTTTTTTGGTGTTCTTTAAAACACAATCAAAGGGTTAACATGCTCTATTTTTTACAAAGTCTTCATAAAAATTTGTAACATCACAAAAGATATGGACTTGGAAACTTACATTATTATATTAGACTACTCCAAATTTAAGTGGACAATTCAAGACATCCATTTTGTCATCAGAAATATTACAGAAGTATATAATTATCTATTTTAATGCAAATAAAATTGCTTGAAAATGGCATGGGTAAAATTCTTACGGAAACCTGGTGGCAATCTTGGAAAAGTTTATCAGCCTGGGAGTATGCTCTCTCTAGCCCCTACCAAAGGCTTATTAAATGAACCTGGACAAAACAGCTGCTTTCTTAATAGTGCTATACAGGTGAGACTGTAATTACTTGTTAATTTTGGGAAAAAAATTTCAGTCTTCAGTATCACTTTTAATTGTATCAAAAATATTTTAACTCAATATTTTGATTTCTATAAGTGGAAATGCTCTTTTTAATAGAAATGTATTTGTGTTCTGTAAAAAACATTTTGATAGAAGTTTTTTATTCATAAATTTGGAATATTTAAAATAGCTAAATCAAATGAAATATAATACTTAGACTATTTTGTGCCAAGAATGGCATCATTCAATTTTCAGTAATTTTTATTTCATTTTGAAGGCTTGTGAAAGTATGTGCATCTATTATAAAATACTTTGAGTTTTATATTATATACTCTTTTACTACCCCTTTATTAAGGTCTGATAATTTCTTGTTTAAAAATTACCTTGGTTTGCAGTCATATATAATTACATGTAAATAAAATTATATGTCTCAGTAGCCAGTGGCCTAGTTCGTGTGTGGGGAGTTGTGCTGTTAATCCAGAGGCCATGCCTTTCTGGTTGTGTAAATCCACCAGCAGTTCTGAGGGAGACTGACGGACAGTCTCTTCCTATGCAATTTACAGCCTCAGAAACCCAAGGTCAGCTAATGAGTTGATACCAGTGAATTGTTTGGAAATTATTTTTTTTTTTGAGTGGCAAGATAACTTTAAAGCATACAGTTGTTTTGTTTTCCCCCCATGTAGTATTTGTTTAATTTAATTGTGTCTATTCTTGGCTTTCTGGAGAATACTTAATGTGCAGTTAGCAGAGAAGCAAGTTCTGATGGGTTGGTTGATAGCGAACTGCACTGCTAACCTAACCGAGGCACCTGTCTGAACTCACCAGGGCTCTGAAGGAGAAAGATGGGTGGTTTCCTTTTGTGCGATTTACAGCTTCCAACAACAAGCTACAAGGTCATTCCAGCTTGACAACAATGAGTACCTGTAACATGAACATTAGCCAGACAGTTGGCCAGGGTTAGACCAAAAGCCAGTTAGGGCATGAGAGATAATTGAATCATGCTAAACTCAAACATGTAATTTCCACTTAATTATGAACTACATATAGGTCAAAAGGTTAGAGCAGCAATAGTAGTATACTATACATATGGAAAAAGCTTTTCATAACCTTTTATGATCTGATTTGCCAAGTCCCTCTTCATGGATATATAGTATATATAATTTTGCTGTTTATAATAAATAATGTAGTAATGTCAGCCTTTTCAAATTTCATGGGAAAGTTTTCTAAATTTAAGTGTATAAAAATATCCTAGATTTGTCTGTCTTAATAGCTTGATTTAATTTTATCTTTATTATAATAGATTAGATCTTAGAATTTGACTAAAATACTGAATTATATAAATGGAAGAAAGTTGTATCTGTAGAAAATGCAACTAGAGTGCTCCTTAGCAGCAAGGATGGCAAAACGTTATCTCACATACCACTTATTTTGGAAATGTTAGGTGAGGCTGTTTCTTGTAAAAGGGTATTAGGCTTGGAAGGGTGGACGTCAGTGCAAATGGTGGTGGATTGACACAGAAACTGTAGAAGTGGTCTCAACTGTGTCAGAGATGATAAGGATGGCACAGGATATGTAGAGTTCAGATCTGTTGTTCATAGGGTCCTCATGAGTTGAACTTGGCTTTGATAACATCTAACAACAATAGTGTAATTGAGATATATGTTCTGGTGGTGTACTATCAAGTTGAGATTGACCCATTGCTGACCTTCCAGCAAGTTTTCAGAGGCAGTAAATTACACAGGAGAAAAAAGAAAAAAAAATTACACAGGAGGAGATTGCCTGTCCTTCTCTTGTGGAACCCCTGATTGATTGAACCATGTACATTTGGATTGGCGGCACTGTTCCTTACCACTGAGCCATCAATGCTTGTGTATATGTGTATGGTTTTATGTATGTAGTAGAGTAGAACTGTACTTCACAGAATTTTTAATAGCTGATTTTCTTTCCTGTGTTATCTGACTAGATTTGAACCTCCAACATTTTGGTTAGTAGTCAAGCTCTTTAATCATTTGACACCCTGGCTCACCTCCCACAAAATCCAGTGTAGAATCTCAGTTGTTGTTGTGTACTGTAGAATTGGAACCAACCCATAGCTGACCCTCCATCGAGCTTTCAGAGGTAGTTAATTGCACAGGAGGAGATTGCCTATCCTTTGCCTGCAGAATCTCAGTAGGTAAAATAAAAGATACAGTCTGCATGGGTTGAAATGATGATGTGGAATATTCTCAGTTCTCAAACTCACCCCTCATCTCCTGTTTCTTGTGGTGGACCATGAATCATCACTCCTTTAAAATCCTAATTTGGACTCCAATGTTATGACTAAGCTGAAGTTTAATATATTTTTTTTAAATTACTGGTCCCTCCATTTGCTGTGCAGAGGTAACTCCTGGTTGCTGTGATGCTAAACACTGTGACACTGATGTGCCAAATGCGATAATGGTTACCCATGGAGGACAGTGTTTGGTGAAGCTCCCTGATTAAAAAAAGCTTGGAAGCAGGAGTGACACCCACTTTTGAAATAGGTTGCCTCCAGAAACTGCATGAACATGGAGAAACAATGAAAGTTATACAAGTGTTCAGGTCTTTCGTTCATAGGGTCGCTATGAGTTGTCTCCGACTCAACAGCACTTAACAACAATTCTGTTTCACGCCTTTCTGAAATTCTTTCAACAGTCATATACTGAACTACTTTTTCTATCTTAGACAAATAGCCCTTTTTGTGTATAATAATGTTTCTACTCAGCATTTGTAGATTTTGTAGAATCTTATGTATGTCCGTATGATCATTTGCTGTATTGTGTTGAAGAAGGGAAAGATCTGAGATGTTGCTTTTTTATTTCCTGCTGGCCCTAGCATATATTTAAAAAAGAATTTAACTGAAGTTGAATTTTTACTTTTCTTAGTTCATTTGGTAAACACACACATCTGGAATGTGCCAAGGATTCAAAACATCTGTACCAACTGGTGTTTTCAGTTACCCTCTACCTGGGCCACCGTCAAACCTGAAAGTTCTTTAACCCACTCATGAAAGAAAGAAGCAACTGGTATTAGAAAAACATTAATCCTTAATTACTTTTAGACTGTTCAAGAGAGTCACTGTTTAGTCTTGGCTGAAAGATCAGCTTGGCATTCAGCATTATGAGAAGTGCAGTAAAATATTTCTTGGGTGGTACTGCATATGGAGAAATGTCATACATCAAAGGACTTAAACACTTCATTAAGCTATGAGAAAAAGGATTCCGCAATTTTTTTATTTAAGTAAAATTTTTATTTTATACTGGTTTACTTAGAGTTTGTATCCATTGTTTTTCAAACCAGATCTTTCCCATTTCATTTACCTGCTTCCCTCGACCCATCATATTGTGAGACCCTGTGATTAACAGCCCCCAGACCCATCCTTACATCTCTGCTCCCACCCTCCACACCTTTGGTTCCTCATACACTCTACAATAATGGTCTTACACAGTATTTGTCCTTATGGGACTGAGTTCATAAAGCATAATGCTCTTCAGTCCCTCCCAAGTTAGATAGCGATTTATAAAATCTTTGCTCCTACATGTTGCATACTATTCCATAATTTTTAATCTTTCCATATGATGGTTATGTTGTTGTTAGTTGCTGTTGAGTTGAGTACAATCCATGGTGACTCTATGAACAACATATCTGAAATTTCTGATTTCATGTGGTACCAGCTTTTTTTCCTTCTTTCCATTTTTACATTTCCCCCTTTCTTTCTTTTTTATTTATCTCTTTTTGCCTTCCGAAATTGTACATATTCTTTCCCTTTGTAAAACTGTAGTTCACCAGTTCTTGGAATACATGAGTGTGTGTTTCCCCCTCTCCACTAAGAACATTTCTCTTTTTTTGCTTTTGGTTTAAAATAATTTTATTGTAATATGCCATGATAGAGGCCCCCTCTTTTCCTTATTTCTTACTTAGGGTTTACTGAACCTCTTTCAACTATGAACCTATAGTTTTAACCAAGTTGAAGACAAATTTAGACATTATTTCTTCAAATTATTTTCTACCTCTCCTGCTTTCGGTACCTCCAACTGCATATATATTTGGTTAATTAAAATTGCTTCACAGCTCGCTGATGCTCTGTTAATTCTCTTTTTTCAGTCTTTTTTTCTTTTCTTTTTCTTTCTGTGTTTCATCATGGCTGTGTGCAGTGCTGGCCTAAAGTTGGCTTTCTTGAGCCATTTTTAAGCCCCCTCTGGTCTCCAGCTACCTTAACTGTAGACACATGGTTTTGCAAATTATCAACAGCTGTAGGACTTGGATAAGAGAGTACTTCCCACACTGAAGAGCAAGACTTGAGGAGAGGAAGGCTTGAGGGAAACTAGACCTTAGTGATGATTGGTGGAGAGACTGTGGCAAGACGTAACCAGAGGAGCCTGAGAAAAAAGCCACAGTTAAAGGTTTTGCTGTTCTTACCTTTGATGATTGCAGGCGAAGCTGACTGCTGAACTGAAACCAGAGCTTGGACTAATTGAGGAATTGTCCTTAGGGATTGCAGGGCTGAAACCTGTATTTGCGTGGGGTGTTATTCTTTTCCTCTCTCAGTCTTGAACTTATTTCACTAATAAACCTCATTCTCAGACCACAACTGCGATTCTGTGAGTTAACAACAAATAAATGAATTTCTTGCTGCTGCTGTGCTCTGGAAGCACCATGGGGCTCTTTATCTGCTTTCTGCTCTGGAGTGGTGAGGGGCTGTGCTAGTCTCACTCCCTCTAGCCCTTTTAGAGAGACACTTATGGCTCTGTGCCCCCACGTTTCATTTTCTGTTCTCTTGGTACTACTCATTCCTTTAGCAGTGTCTCTCCTACTGTTAATTTCATTCAGTATAATTATCTCCAGTAGTAATTATCATTTCCAATACCTCTAGAAATCTGATTTGGGTCTTTCTAAAATCTCTTACTTATTAACATGCTTAGCATTTCCTATAGTTTACTGAAGATAGAAAACACAGTTACAATGGTTTTAATGTACGTGCCTATGAGTTGTGTACATTCTGAGTGATTTTCCTATTGGTTATATTTTAGATTATATTTTCTCATTTCTTAAATGACTAGTAATTTTTTATTGACCTTCAATCATTCAAGTCATTTGCCTTGTTGACTGATGCATATTTTTATATGTGTAAATATGTACTTTCTGAGTTTTATTTTTAAATAAGTTTGGTTTGCTTGGAAAAAATTACCATTTTGCATTTATGCTTGGTTAGGCAGTGCTGGAACTGTGTTTATTTTCTGCTGTAGACTGAAGACCTTGCTTTCTTCTATAATCAGTGTCCTGTGAATTAAGAAGTTTTCTACATTGGCTGTTGGAACTGGCACTATTTCAGACATTTGCCAGTCCTGGACACTGTTCCGTGTGGTTAATTTGGTTTTTCTCTCTCCAGCCCCTTAAGATTTATCCTTACATATCTGAGTATTCAAGAGAAACTCTCTGATTTCTACTTTTTGTTTCTCAGTGCTTTGTTGTCTTCAGTATTCTGCCTTAAACTCTCTAATCGCTTTGGTTTCTCTGCACTCTTTCATCCATCTTCTCAACTCAGGGCATCTTTTGACTTCTTACTTGGTTTCATTCATGTGCCTGGGAACTTTTTTCCAGACAGTAAGCTAGATAATTTTTGCAGCCTCTTTCATCTCCCATGCCTTAGTAGCCTTTCTTTCCTGATATACAGTGTCCTCAATATTTGGAATGGGTTTTCAGTTGTGGCAGACAGGAGGGTAATTCGATCCCTATTATTGCTTCTTAGTTGAAAGTTGCTACGGATTATTTATGAAGACATTGCTATTTGGTGCCATCAAGTCAATTATGGTTTAGAGTAACCTGCGTGATAGAGTGAAACTTCTCCAGAGCTTTTTCAAACTGTAATCTTTATGAATACAGTCTACCAGTCTTTTTTCTACAGACCTAAGGATCAGTTTGGTGGGTCAAGTTGTTAGTTGCAACACAAAGGATCCCTTTGTATAAAGATAAAAAATAGAAATTGGATCAAAAGGATATATATATATGTATATATATATATTTTATAAATATATTGTTGTTATTATGTGCCGTCAAGTCGCCTGTGACTCATATCGACCTTATGTACAACAGCCCTAAACTCTGCCCTGTCCTGTGCCAATCTCACTGTCTCCAGCACACCCACCCCAGTTACCCCAGTGACTGAATCAATCCACCTCATAGAGGTCTTCCTTTCCTGTGCTGTCCCTCCACCCTCCCAAGCATGACGTCCTTCTCCAAGGATTGGTCTCTCCTTGCAGCATGTCCAAAGTAAGTCAGACGAAGCTTCAGAATCCTTGCCTCCAAGGTGCAGTCTGGTTTAACCCTCTCTAGGATGAACCTGTTCGTTTTCTTAGCAGTCCATGGTATATTCAATACTCTTCTCCAACACCACAGCTCAAAGGCATCAGTTCTCCTTCTGTCCTCCCTAGTTATTGTCCAGCTCTCTGACACATAGGAAGTGATTGCAAATATATGACTATATGTGTGTGTGTGTGTGCGTGTGTGTGTGTGTACACATATATGTATGGATATGTATTATGTATATAAAAGAAAAATAAGGGAAATATTAAAGTTTATCTGTTATGGGAATTAAGAAAGGAAATGCTTGCCTCCAGGAATGATTTGCAGTATCTATCCAGGGACAAAAATACTAGATCATTATCTTAGACATCATAATGTTACCTATAATGTACTTATTATTTTAGTACAGTAGTGATGTTTTCTAATGAGTCCTTTTGTTTTTTGTTTTTGTCTTTTAGAAGCAGATAATAATTAGAACACATATATTCAAGTTATTGCTTACCTCCTGCTTCTTACCTTGCTTTGGTGTCATTAACACATGGCATGTACTGCCCCTTTCTCATTCAGTGCACAGAGACCACCCAGGCCTCTCCGCACAGTCTATCCTTGACATAGCACATTGACCCTTCTCTAATACACTCTGGTTTTAAACTCCAATTATATTTCCTTCCTAACTTTCAGTTTGTTCCAAGTGTGTATAATCACTTCCTCTTTCATGTCTCTGCCAACTCCTTTATTTAGTATCCTATGTTTCCTATTCATATCAAACCCTTACCTCTGTGTAAATAGCTTTTTCTGCTTGTCATGATTTTTAGATATGGATTAGTAAGATGAAAGAATTTTACTTTTCAAAGAGAAGAGCAAATTGAGGGGGAGAGGTAGGCAGGGAGAAAAGTGCAACAATGAATGGATAAAAATCCCAAGTCTCTGTAAACTTTAATTAAAATTAATTTTTTTAAAAAAAATCTCTTTTCTCTTTCAGCCTTTCTTTGCACATGTATATATATATTTGCTGTTTCGTTTTATACTTGATATTGTTTTTGTTGTTACCTGCTGTTGAGTCAGTCTCAGACCCATGGTGACGTTTGTATTATAGAGAATTGCTCCCAGAGATTATTGGTTTGGTTTCTTGGGGGCTTTTTTTACCTTCTCTTTGCTCACTATACTCTTTTTAAAAGCAGTTCATCAGGACCTTTTCTGAAGAGCCACTGGGTACATAGCTCAAACTACTAACATTTAGGCAAGCTCACTGTAAACCCCTTCTTCTCAGGTTCTTTCTTGTTGTTACGTGCTATTGAATCAGAGTTGACTCATTGCTGACTCTCTAGTGAGTTTTTAGAGACTGTGAATCACACGGGCAGAGATTGCCTTTATGTCTCCCACGCAGAGACACTGGTAGATTAGAAATGCATGCCTTTGGTGTGGCAGCACAGCTCTCAACCCACTAGACCACCAGAGCACTCTATTATATATATTGTTGGTATATATCTGATTATATAAATGTGATTAAAAGAAGGTAGTTATTAACCTACTTAGATTTTAAAATATCTGATCGTTTAGTCACTGAAAAAACTCTTACCATGTTTCTGTTTTCTTCTCACTGTTTCTCACAATTTCTTAGGTTTTATGGCAGTTGGACATATTCCGACGAAGCTTGCGGATTTTAACTGGACATGTTTGTCAAGGAGATGCCTGCATATTTTGTGCCCTGAAGGTAGCTTTTTGTGCAGTTCTAAACAAATATTATCAGTTGTTTCTCAGATTTACTTTGGTTGTTGCTATTTTTTTTCTAGTCAATTTTCTTGTAACTAATGATTATTGTCTGGTGAGCTATATAGTTTTGATGGTTAAGTCTTAAAGTAACTTATTCACAGCTGTGTTGCTGTTTTCCATTTTTAAATAAGGACAATTAAAATGAACATTTTAACTAACGTAAGTTTTTTAGAAATGCTACAGTGAAAGAGTGGAAGATCCTCAACAAGATGGACTGTCACAGTGAATGCAGCAGTGAGCTCGTGTGTGCCGGAGGTTGTGGAACGGCAGAGGATAGGACAGGGTTCAGATCCATTATGCATAGGGTCACTCTGAACAGTAGTTGATTCGCTGGCACCTAACAACAGCAACCAACAACAGTTTAGGAGTTTGAAGTGGTTATTTATTCAGTAAATATTTCTTGAGCCTCTGCTTTGCTCTGGGCATTGCTGTTGTAGTTATTGAAGATACAACACGGATGCCATAAGTAATGAGGGACAAAACTGGTAAGAATCCCTACCCTCACAGAGCTTATTTCTTTTCAGGAAAGAAACAGAAAGTAAGCAAGACATGTATAAAGTAAGATGATATTAGGGCTAAGGAGGAAAGAATTTAGAAAAAAGTGTAAGGAAAATTGAGTGGTCGGGAAAGCCTCACTGAAAAAATGACATCTGAGTCAAGGCCCTAAGGTAGGAGAGTGTGCCTAGCATTTTCCAGAAACCCTAAAGAATCCTGAAGGCCAGAAGCGTTGTAAGCAAGTGGGAGAATGAGAGCGTAGAAATAGTGAGAATTTGTCGTTTTTATTATTGTTAGGTACCATTGAGTTAAATAAGGTGCATACCAATGCTGTCAGCAACAGATCCTGTACCATCCTTATCATCTCTGACACACTATCGCCCATTGTGCCTGTCACTGCATCAGTTCATCTGGTTGAGAGTCTTACTCTCTTTGGCCGACCCTCTACCTTTCCAAGTATGAAAGGCCTTTCTAAGGACTAGTCTTAACAACACGCCCAAAGTATGTGAGGTGAAGCTTTCTCATCTTTACCTCCAAGGAACATTCTGGCTGTACTTTCTCCAAGACGTATCTGTTCTTTTGGCAGTCCATGGGGCATTCAGTATTCTTCTCCAACACCACAGCTCAAAGGCATCTCAGAGAGAGGGAGTTTCTAGTGGCTTTAAAACCTATTCTAGTATTCTTTGTAAGTATACTCTCAAAAGGAATCAAATTCTCATTTTGAACATGAGTCCCAGTCTTCAAACTTATTTCCAACAAATAGAATGTGGTCAAAATAATGCTATGAGATGTTCAGCTTGAGATAGATTATATATGTATATAGCTTCCACTGGACTCTTGGAAGTGAACCTCCTGTGAGGAAACAAAATGGCCATGTTGAAAGGCCACATATGGTTTTCAGCATCAGCTGCGTGACATGAGTGAGAGACCTTCAAATGATTTCAAATCTGAGCCTTTACACTTCTGTACGTGATGCCTTATTGAGCAAAGATGAGCTGCATTGAGTAACTGGAACAGAGGCATAGACTACAAAGACATTGAATTGCTCAGAGTGATTAAAATATGATGAGATAGATTTGAGTCCAAGAGTGACAAATGTCTGTCTTATGCTCTGTTAGACTGAAGACTAAGGGAGAAATAGGGAGTCCAATGTATATTATCAGCTCATTTATGTCACTTAAATCTGGGCCTGAGAGTTTGTGTTAGAAACTTCGTGATCACATATAATTAATAATTTAATATTTTGATCAATGTATTTTAGAGATAAATTACATTCTTCAGTATTCTTAAACACACTAATTAAACAAACTAATCAGTAGAGCTTTGGTATGACGTTACGCTGCCAACCCCAAGGCAGGTGGTTCAAACCCATCTGCTTCTCTGCAGGAGAAAGATGTGTGGTCTCCTCCTGTTCAGTGTACTGCCCCTGATAACCTGCTGGTGGGTCGGCTAGGAGTCGGTTCCAGATTAACAGCACATAACAACAACAGTCAAACCAAAAAGGAAACTCTCATGGTCTAGTGAGTAAGGAGTTGCATTATCAACCCAAAGACACAGAGTTTGAATCCACCCTCTATCCCTAGAAAGAAAGATGGGCATTCTCTTCCCAAGTGATTTACTGTCTGAAGGGTCCACGGTTCCTTGGCTCTAACTCAACAGCACATAATAATGACGGCACATAACAACAGTCAAGCCAAAACCTCACAGGCAACAGAGTAGATTCCAACTTAGAGCAACCCTCCATTGGGTTTTCAAGGCTGTAAATGTTTTCAGGAAGAGTCAGTCCATCTTTATCCCATGGAGTAATAGGTGAATCCAAACCACTGCCTTCAGTTAGCAGCCTAGCCTGTTATGCACTGTGCTGCCGCGGCTCCTTTAAACACACATACACAAAATAAAGGCATTTGCATGCCTTATTTGCTTAGGAAGGACTGCATAAATACATCATCCAGAGAGTCAGGCAGCTTTATATTCTCTTTTGTAGAGCATAACACAATTTTGGATTACTTATTGTTAGGGAATGAAGAGTAAGTTGAGATCCAAATACAGTATTATGTTTTATTTATATGAATGTCTTAAGCAATTATGTTGTTGTTGTTGTTGTTATGTGCTGTTGAGTCGCTTGCGACTCATAGCGACCCTATGGACAGCAGCCCTAAACTCTGCTCTGTCCTGTGCCAATCGCACTGTCTCTGACATTCCCATCCCGATTACACCAGTCACTGAATCAATCCACCTCATAGAGGACCTTTCCCTCCTGCACCGTCCCTCCCCCTCTCCAAGGACCGGTCTCTCCTCACAACATGTCCAAAGTATGTTAGACGGAGCCTCAGAATCCTTGCCTCCAAGGAGCCACCCGGTTTAACCCTCTCCAGGATGAATCTGTTTGTTTGCCTAGCAGTCCAAGCAATTATAGAAACTAATATAGTCATTCTTGGCCTACTTGTCTGTGTCCCTACAAAATCACCTGCACCCCTTATTTGTCCCCCACACATCCTCCCTCATGCGCACTTCACTTTAGACTGAGTGGTTTCTCTGGAGTTTTCTACAGTTGACTCTCATCTCCAGAACTGTTCATGGTACTCATTATACATAAAATGCTTCTCTTCATCTAGAAAATTATTTCTAATGGATAACTTGAAAATACTTTGTTTTAAAAGTGTCAAAGTAATTCTTTTTTTTCTTTAACTTATAAAATGTATTTTTAATTTAAAAAAAACTGCATTAGACTGATAGGAGGAGGAAATGTCATTCCATTGAAGTTGTCTAGTTTTTGTTTTTAAACAACGGTTAATTTTTCTGAAGTTTACTTAAGACACTCATGGAAGAAACAATTATTTTTTAGATAATTTAGACTGTGTTAGGGAATTTTTATTTTTTTATTTAAAATGAGTACATTTACACTAATTTCCATGTGATTGTACATTTGATTTTTTATTAATACGCTTTTAGATTTAAAACAGCATAAACTGACTTGAGTTACTTGCATGGAATTAGCTAGAGACTTTGTGACTGCATCTCTATGTAGGGATTAATTTTATGCATATTAATGTTAGAGTTGTGCTAATTTAGAGCTTGTTGTAAGGATTTCTGTATTTATTTATTTTTTTAATTCCTTCTGTCATTGTGTGGTTTTATGGTTATTGTTCATTGTTGAGTCGAAACCAGCTCATAGCTGAACCTCCAGCTGGTTTTCAGAGGCTGTAAAACACACAGGAGGAGATGGCTCACCTTTCTCCTGAAGAGATCCTCTTTGTATTTGAACCTCTTGTCTTTGGGTTGACAGTGCACTTCCTTACCCACTAGGCTACCAGAGCTACTAGTAATTATTTTTTTTGTGGAATTTTAGATCAAAAGGCTTTTCTATTGGTTTTTTAATAGATTACATTTCACCATGCTCTGACACAGTTAGGGAGAGAAGGAAGGACAATCTCCTCCCGTGCGATTAACAGCCTCTGAAAACCTGCCAGAGGGTCAGCTATGGGTCGATTCTGACTCAATGGTACACAACAGCAACAACAATAATAAAATTAATACAGTTTTCAAAAAGTCGTTGACGTTAAACTTACTGTTATAATTGGTAATTTACAGACAATATTTGCACAATTCCAACACAGCCGGGAAAAAGCACTTCCCTCAGATAACATAAGGCATGCTCTTGCAGAAAGCTTCAAAGATGAACAGCGATTTCAGCTTGGCCTTATGGATGATGCTGCAGAGTGCTTTGTGAGTATTTTTATAATCTTTAAGACTAAAGACAGATTTCCTTTTCTGAAAGGATATGCATTTTGAAACAAATGTAACAATAGATGGTCACTGGATTCATCTCTTGCCTGTTCTCTAAGGCTCAGTTTAGGTCCATTGTGTTTGGGTGGTGCCTCTGGGTGGTTTGAGGTTTGAGTCTATCTAAAGATGTCTCAAAATTTAGGCTTGATGATCTCCTTCCCAAAAATAAGTCATCAAAACACGGAGGAGCTCAGTTCTGCTCTGAAATGCATTGAGATGCCGTTAGTTGGGATGAATTACATGAAAATTGATTTTTGTTAATTTTTTGTGTGTCATGTTTCTTGTTGTTATGTGCCACTGGTTCAGAACCAACACAGAGCTGATCCTCCAGCAGATTTTGAGAGATCATAAGTCACACAGGAGGAGAGTCCCCGTTTTTCTTCTGAGGAACAACTGGTAGATTCAGACTGTTTGCCTTTGTGTTGACACTACAACTCCTTGCACATTTGGATTATTTATGTTACATTAAGTTTTATTAAATGTAGAGATACTAAAATAAAATTTCCTTTTTTTTTTCTTTTAAAAATATGGAACACTTCATGAATTTGCATGTCATCCTTGCACAGGCACTATGCTAATCTAAATGTTATTGATCAAATAGCTTTGTTAAACATAAATTATATTATTTCTTTCCAAGATCATATAAAACAAACTTTTTGTCAAACATTCTTCTAGGTGGTATAGCACTGGTCTGTGCATTGCTGTACAGAGGTAACTCGTGGTTGCTATGCTACTAAACACTGTGACACTGATGTGTCAAATGTGATAATGGTTACCTATGGTGGACAGCGTGTGGTGAAGCTTCCCGATAAAACAAGCTTGGAAGTAGGAGTGACATCCACTTCCGAAATGGCTTGCCTCCAGAAACTCTATGAACAGTGCTCAGGTCTTTCGTTCATAGGGTCACTATGAGTCATCTACGACTCGATGGCACTTAACAACAACAACAACCACCAATTCTTATTAAGTTTAATGATTCTTATTGATATAGAAGAGGATTTTGGTGAGAAGCTGATGAAGAGAGATGCAAATCAAAACCACAATTTGATACAATTTCACCGCAGGAGCAGTGGCAAAGTTTAATAGAACTGTAAACAATAAATGTTTGGTGAGGATGTGGAGAGATAAGAACTCTCATACACTATTGGTGGGATCATACTCTGGAAGGCAATTGGATGTTTCCTTAAAAAGCTGAACATAGAAATTTTATATGAGCCAGCTATTCCACTGCTAGGAATATACCTTGAGAAAATTAGAACTGAGACATATATGGAGATCTGTATTACACTAATGTTGTTACCATCACAAGAACATGGAAATAGCCCAGATGTCTAACCACAATCGAACGGATTGAGAAACTGTGGTACATTCATGTGATGAAAAACTACACAGCACTCAAGGGCAGCAATTTAAAAAATTACTACATAACTTGAGAGGGACTCACCTATACTGAGTGAATGAACTCAGTCTCATAAGGACAAATATTGCAAAAGACCATTATTGTAGAAATGTAAAGATAACTAGCAAAATGTGTATGAGGATCCAAATGAAGAGGGCAGGGGGGAAATCAAAGGGTCACACAGTTTGGTGGATGGAGGAAGGAGTGGGTGAAGGAAATGGGAAAGATTCTGCAGGGATCAGGAAAGACATGGTAATGGTGGGCATATTTCAATGGGGATTAATTTTAT